TTACTTTGCTGCAGATTTAGATTCAGATTCAAATTCAGATTCATATCCAGCAACAACTACAATTGCGGGAGCGGGAAAAGCCAATTGTTTGGGGCTCGTTTTCCATGTGGGGCAGCTCGCGAACGATTTTCTTTTCGTTTCGTTTCGTTGCGCTTTGTTGTTGTTGTATTGTTGTTTTCCTTTTTGGGGCCACACTCTTAAAATAAACACCTGGTGGGCAGCGCAGCAACTGCAGGCGACGGCATCTGCATCGTTGCGCATTAACTTAACTGTTCACTGTTAAATGCCATTTTCTACACACATCTATCTATATATATTTATATATACAACATACACGCACACACATATATCTAGCTATTTACATATGTGCGTGTACATATGTTGCAGCTGCAAAAACTTCTCGATATCCAACACGGGAAAAAAAGGTAAACAAAACTATTGTCGCTCGCGCGTGTGTGTGTGTGCAGCGCGCGTATGGCTTGCACTGCTAATATGTTAATAACGCGACCAAGTTAAATGCAATAGGAAAATTAGCGAACAAATGTAAATGTTTCAATTATAAATATTTTTAAGACGTTCAGCAAATCGCGGTGGTCGGGCGATATGCGCGCAACTGACTATCGAAATGTTAGCTCTGCTTACATATATCGCATGTATGTGTGCATAGTGCTGTTAATGTTTAACAGCTGTTGAGCTTGGTTCACAACCATGCACACTTGCCACATGGATGAATATAGTTCATTTACTGACAATTACTGAGACTGTTAATGCTAAGCACCTGTAAGCGTATACCACAACCATGTAAGGCTGCCACCCTGTGGGAAAAAGTCTATGTTATGCATAGAGAGTTGCCCCTTTGCTAGAGCTAGAGAGTGCGCAAAAGTTTGATTTAAGTGTCAACGTTTGCTATATAAATTGTATTTAACGACCTTGTCGCACGTTTTTGTTTTTTGTGCAACAACTGCAATTTATGATGCCATTAAGAAACTCGATCTGCGTTGCATAAACAGAAAAAAGCAACAACAACAAAAACCTTCTACAATTGTTTTCCTTTATTTTTTTAAACAAAACTTTCGCTCTTTTCCGTTTGCCTCTCTGAGTCGCCACAGCCGCTGGCCCCCATTCAACGGAAGTCTCACACTATCTCAACCAGGCGACCAAGCGGATTACAGAATAATTGCTCTGTGCCAGTGCCAGTCGGTGCCATAGCGCCAACAACTACAACTACAACTACAACCATAGCAACAACACCAACATCAGCAACAGCAGCAACAATGACAAAACTTATCTGTGTTGCTGTTGTTGTTATTGTCGCTTGTTATTTTATTGTCGCATTGGAAATAATATACAAAATAATTGAATTACTCTGCTCACACATACATACGTACAACAGAATCTGTATGTGTGTGTGCGTGTGTGTTGGGGGCGTTCAGTGCTTGAAAGTATACGCTGATAAGCGCAAGTCAGGCCAAAGCCAGATCACAATTTGGTTTTTTTTTAAGCGAAACAAGCGCAGCAGCAAGTGCAGCGCCCACAGGGTGATCACAGTTCAGACAACGGCAGTGATTACAAAGACGCGATAAGAGCGCAGTCGCCGTCGCATTCAAACGAAAACAAAAATAAATAAAAAACAAGCGTGAAGCAAAAACGTGACTTGAGCTGCGCTTCAGCATTGTCACGTATGTAAATTATGCTGCCTAACAGCGCAGCTGACGTCGCTGTCGGCAGCTAACTCTAGGCTTAAAAAAATAGTTATTTATTTAATTTATTTTTATTTTATTTTTTATTTTTTGAAGATTGCGCTTTAGAAATACCAGCACGTCTCTAAATGGAAAACTGGCTGTCATTTGATAAATGCATATTTACAATAACATTTTTATGACATTTAAATTTAATAGGCGCCCATTGCCCATTGCTGTTGTTCTTATTGGATTTGGTTAATTGGGCCTTTGAACTCAACGAAACATTACTGATAAAGTCAGCTTCGGCGAAAACAGAACTTGATTTAAAATAAAAACAAGCCTTACCCTGTGCTCGGCGGCAGTCAACGCCCCCTAAGAAGGCGGCGACGGCGGCGGCGGTGCCGACGACATCCATAGCAATGATACGCAATAACAAAAATTAAATGCCAATATTGTTTATAATTTGCATGATCTGTGGAAAAAACACAAAGGTCTCGCTGTCTCAAGCACAAGGTGGGGGGAACGTTGGGTGTGACATCAGCATGAGCACACAAGCAAAACAAAAATAACGCCCCAGCAATTTGCCTGAGTCGCCCTATGAACGGAACGGACTGAACGAAAAGCCTATCAATGAATACAAAAAAAAATGAATTTGCAATAAAGGCAAAGAAAATGGCAAAATCAAGCAAAAGGTCTAACTGTAAAATCTCTCTCTCTCTATCTTTCTTTAGTGTTGTTCTTGTTATTGCTGAGTTGCAGTATGATTCAGTTTCGTGAGAGCGTTAGTGTCGCAGGTACCGGGATGCCATTCGCAAGCCTGGAATACTCTCGCACACGCACACACGGACACATACACTCGCGTACATGTTAAGCCGGTTTCGGGAGCATCAACACAGTTGGCCTGTCGATGCAATTTACCGTGCAACGCTGCAGTCAAAATGTGGCAAAAATTGATGGAAAATACTGATGAACAAAATAAAAAAAATTCACGGCATGCATTTACCAGCAGCAGCAACGACAACCATAATTAAAATCCTCGTGTGTGCACAGTTAAACACATACATACATACAAACATACATAGCAATATGCATTTGTATGGTACATCGTACATTAGACGCCTGACTTAGGAAACCAGTTTTATTGCAATTCAACCAACCAAAGGCAAAACCCCAAGAAATTACGTATCACAAATGTATATGGACACATACATATATACAAAGAAACATACATACATGCTTACAAACGTATTTGTATGTATGTTGCCGCTATTGCTTTAGTCTTCTGCCCTCTCCATGGTAGCAGCAGCAGCAACACCAACAATATTGTCTTCAAGTCAGGTCTTTGTTTTACACAAGCAAAGCTTACAAACAAACACATATACAGTCACACTCATTTGTATAAAATAAATGTAAACGAATTGTTTGTGGTGTCTGCTTAACCACCTGTTGCTGTAATTGTTTGTACGAATCTTAAAGTTTTAACTGATTCTCTATGCAAACGAACGTTGGGCTAACAAAATTGTGCACAAAATAATTTCTATCAAAATGTAAAACAATTGAAAACCAACAGGTAAAACTTTGAAATGCACACACACACACACTCACACGCTGCCGCACAAATGAGCGCTTACTCATACCCTTCCATGTGTGTGTGATTCGACCACAAAAGAGAAAACTACGCTTAATACCTTACAATTGAAGTGACCAGGCATATGAGTTCATAGGTTAATGTAGCAATTACTGGCTTAAATAAACGATTTATAAGTAAGAACAATAAAAAAAAATAAATAAAATTTGTTTTAAGTATTTAAATTATAAAATAATGTCAATTTTCTTACATGCTAAAGGTCCTATACTATTTTACAAACTTACTTTGTGGATGCAGTGCATGCTTTGTGTTCGTCAAGCCGTATGATCGCGTCGTAAGCGAGCAATAACTAGTTTTACGTCTGTATCACAGAAACCAGGGCTGCATGTAAAGTATTTTTTTCGCTCATTAGCTTTTCCGCCTGCTTCAAATAGAGTTGCTCACTGGAAATCGGCCACTCAGTGGGATGGACATGCGCATTGCTTTGGCAACCAACTGCATTTGGCTGCTACTCTAGCTGAGCGCTGTGTGCGAGTAAGCGTGTAGCCCTGGCAGGTGCAAAATGAAACGGCCTCATAACTTTTTGGTCAACGCAACGGCAGCTCGAGCCTCAGTCTCTTGCGCGTGATCGGTAAAAACAAATCGACGGACCGTGAAGGTGGTGAGGATATTCCATCGTCAGTGTCGATGTGTTTGTTGTTGTTGTTGCTGCTGCGGCTGCTGTTATCTTGCTTGTTGTAAATTTGCGCAGTACATTAAGAAAATAAAACGAAATACGACAAAAAAAATAAATTCGCGACGAGTCCGCATCACACCAAACTGAGAGGGAGCGAGAGAGAGAGCAAAGCAGACAGACAGGAGGAGACGGAGAGCGCGCGAAAACTAAACGGTTGTTGTTGTTGTTGTTGCTGTATCAGTATTTGTACCAGCCGCAGCATCCCGCCATTGTTGCCGATTTTGTTATAGTTATTATTATTATTATTATCTGTCCACCGTGCATCGCGTGTAACTGTAAAAACTGTGCCACAGCCGCTATCGTATAGCCTCCAGCTGCGCACTCTCGCCCGCATCGCATCAATTGCACTAATTTCTTCAATCAGCACACAAGGCAAGATTCACATTTTTAACGAGTAAAACTAGCGAAAATTGTTTAACAAGTGAAAAGTATGTACATATGTGTATGTATGTAAATTTGGCCCATTGTCCAAATTTAGAATCTAAATCCGGAATACACTGGAAATAAATAATTTAATGAGCTGCTCCTTGCTACGGGTGTTTTTAGTGTTGTTGTCTGTTTTGCACTGTCATCTGCGAGAGAGTTTCAGGTCATGTGGGCGAGAGAAGGAAACAAAAGAGAGAGTATGACTGAGTGAGATTAAAAATAATGAGTGGGATCGACAAGAGCGTATTCACGTGTATTTAATTTTATATATTAGAGTGAAGTTTGGAAATGTTTTTGCGGTAAAAAAGTATAACCAAATATTGTATGTATGTAATTATAAACGGAGTACTCTCGCACTTGCCAGAAGCGGCGTCATCTTTGTTGCTGTTATGTGCTCTAATCTCGATTTATCTCTGCTGCGAGCGGCAATCTTAACAATTGTTTATTGTGTTTGCTCTCCCCCTCTCTTCCGCTCTTTGCGAGCATATATGTGCGCGTGTGTATGTGTGTTGAGCTCAAATGCAAGTGAATTAAACGAAACGACTTGAAAAAGTTGAAGCTTTGCTTTTTTGTTGTTTAGTACTGGGCTGTCTCCCGACGTGTACGTTACGTATTGGCGCCGTGGCGCTATAGCGGTGAAAATTTGTAACTCTGTGCAAAAGACTGTGCGAAACTGTTGCACAAAAAAAAGAAAAGTAATTTAGCATCAATTTAACGCCTTGCTAGACAAACGGTATGCGTGGTTTTTCTGATAGAAAACGCAATAAAAAGCAAAAGTGCAAATGCAAAATTACAAATATGATTGCCTACAGTGTGTCAGTGTGTTTGATTAAATTTAAATTACATACTTTTTTTTTATGCTATGCACGCACGCACACACGCAAGCGCAGTACGCAGCTCCCGCTAATTATGAAAGTTTTTATTGTTTTCTTGATTGAGTTGGCCCAAAAGCGCCGCCAGTGCTGCGACTGTTGTTGTTGCTGATATTGTTGTTTGTTAATCGGTTGCTTGGGCAATGGCTTAAGCCTTAAAAGACGCACATTTGTTAGCAAACATTAATTTGTCGCTGTTGGTTTTGCCTAAACACACCTGTGGCACACCTGATAAAAATCCTAAAAGAAAGTATGTTGATGCTTCAGGCCATAGAAGAAATCATAAATCAACGTTTACCAACACGTAAATAAATTATAGCATGTTATTAACGTCTGGCAGGAGAGAGGGAGGAGAAGATAAAGATGGCTGAGCTCAACAAAATGGTACACAACAAAAATTTCACAGTCAGTACACATACATCATAGAAGTACCGCAATAATTCCATTGTCTGAACTTCACACTCCTACGCAGCTAAGTACCCCTCTCTCTCCCTCTTCTTCAATGAGCTGCACTTACATTATTTACAACGCTGTGCTGTCGTTGAGTTGTTTTTGGATTTTCTAATCTGTGCGCATAAACAGCATACGTATTCTGCATGCTAAACTGAACGAAGAGGGTTGGCTGCGTCGTTGACTTCCGTGAAGCTGTCAGCGTCTGCGTCAACGTCAGCGTAGCCGTCGTCATTGCGGTTTGGCTACGAATTGTCGACTTTATCTCTTTTGTTGGTCGTCGCAGTTGACGCTTGTGTCAGCTGAGCGCTGCGTATGCTTATGTGTTTTGTTCAATTTTTATTTTTAATTTTAAGTTGATTGCGCAGCAGCGGCGGCTCCATAATTCCGCACACAATTGCCATGCCAAATACAGGGTGTTACACTTTTCATTTCGTTTCGTTAAGCTACGCTGTGCTATTTTTGTACCGTTGTTGCTGCGTTTGTTGTTGTTGTCGCCGCTTTTGGATAATTTGGCTTTCGCTTTTGTGCCATTATTGCCGTTGTTGCTGTTGTTGCCTAATGCCTCGCTGCCAGTTCCCAAATCAGCTTCAAAATAAATCAAACTTATGTCCATGCATACAGTATGCATACGTTATGATGCATAGTCAATAAAAACCTGTTTGCTAGGAGTCCCCTTAAAAACTGAAGATTTTGTTAAAACAAAAAAAAAAATTGCGTAAAATAGATTTTTTCTATTCGCTTAAAGAACAAAGAGATAAATAACTTTTGATTCCGTTGGAGCGTATGTCTGCTGTATGTATGAACAATGATTTATTTATTATATTTAGCAAGATTTTTCTTAATTATGTGATACAGAAGCAAAAAACAGCACGAAATGTGAGAATTGCATGAGAATCTCACAAAAGGCTTTAGCTTTTTATTAATGCCAACTTTGGTCAACTGTGAGAGTGTGTGTGTGTGCTTGTGTAATTGTGGATGTGCATTTGCTTCTGAGAAACTCTGGCTTATTGTTGTCTTGGCTATGTCTTTAAAGGCCGCACTGTGACGTCAAAACCAGCTGATTGTTGATGTAAGCCAGTGTTGTGCAAGCTAGCTCTGAAAAGCCATAAAAAAGCCAAATGTTAGGTTTAAAGAAATATGATGAAAAGGACATATGTTATATAAGCTTACGTCAGTTCAAATGGTGGCTTAAAAAAGGCTAAATGTTGTGCTTATGAAAATAATCTAAATAAGCTTAAAAAAGAAGAATATAATTTAATTAAGACTTAATTTTCTATGAAAAGACTAGCACATAGAAAATAGCTAGATCTTGTGAAAATTCTACCCAAATGAGCATCACTGACTTCTAACACATAGCGCTTGTTAATGCTTTTTTAGCGCTTACTGTTGGCGGCTGCATGGGCAACTGGTTTAGCTGACGTTTGACGAATATATATATATATATGTATATAAATATATATATAAATGTGCATGTGTGTGTGTGGATGCAGATGCACTGGGGGATTGGCTTACCAGCTGGCAAGGAATGCATTCAGATTCATTGCAAGTTGTATAACGAACGAATTAATTAGCAATTGGCAAATGTCTGGGGACAAGACGTTTGGAATTTTTTTTTATTTTTTTGCAAATTAAGTTTCAGCTGACAAAAGGGAAAAACCCCGCGGCAAACAAATCCAATTGAAAATCGCCAATCGAGCAAAGTTCTAAACGAAATTTTTATAACGCGTTTCTCATTTTACAGAGGTGAACTGAACTGAGCTGAGCTGAGCTGAGTTGAGCAAAACGATAAAACGGAAAAACGGCGAAACACATAAGAGTGAGAGCGACAGAGATGCCTTATCAGCCAGCGGGCAACAACAGCAGCGGCGGCGGCGTCAGCAGCGCTGGCAGCAAAGCTGCTGCAAAAATGTCGCAGCTAAAGTTCTGGAACAAGCAGAATAGCAAACAGCAGGAGAAGCAGCTGCAACAGCTACAAGACTCATCCGATGGCTGTGATGCCGGCCTGGGCAATGGCAGCAGCGGCAACAACAGCGCCAGCAATGGCGGCAGCAGCGGTGGCAACTCCAAAGGCGACTCGAAGAGCGGCAAACGTAATTGGCTGCATACGCCGGAGCAGCTCATCAATGGACATGCCGTATATCTAGTCAAGGTGAGAGTCGAGGCTGAGCAATGCAGTATCTGCTAGTCAAGCACTCCCATTTCTAATACTCCGTCTTCTCTATCCATACCTTTGCAGTTCTTTGGTAACCTGAGTGTGGACCAACCCAAAGGCATCGAAGTGGTCAAGGACGCAATACGCAAATTGCAATTCGCACAGCAAATGAAGAAAGCGGAAACGGGAACACAGGAGAAATTTAAGAAGCTGGAGATTACAATTAGCATCAAGGGCGTGGCCATTCAGGAGCCGCGTACACATAAAATACTACATCAATTTCCGCTGTACAACATCTCGTACTGTGCGGACGAGAAGGGTGTGAAAAAGTTCTTTAGCTTCATTGCCAAGACAATCAAGTCGAAAGATAATGGCACAACGGACACAAATGGCTACAATTCGAATGGCAGCGCGAAGCCGGAGGAGACGCACGAATGCTTTGTTTTCATATCAAATAAATTGGCCTCGGACATTACGCTGACCATTGGCCAGGCCTTTGACTTGGCCTACAGGTGGGTTTGATTTAACTTTATATATTCAATTTACCTTGGTACATTTCCTTGGCACTAGAACACGGTTGCAAATGTATTTGAACCGGTTTGAGTAGACAACAAATCAATCACTTTTCATCTGTTTTTATACCTTTTGGTATGAAAAAACCAATCATAGTATTTAACCACCCCATAAAAACCAACTAATGTGGTAGATTAAGTTGTATAGTTCAGCCTGTCAGTTATTCAACCAGTCAACCATCTTTTAGTTTCTTTGATTTTTCAATTATCAGTCATTCAATCAATCAATCAGATTACATCAATTCAGTCTCCTTTCAATTTTCAATATCACTTCACAAGGAAGCCAAGTCTTATAGTTTAATTTTATCAATCGCCAATCAATCACTCAATCAATGCTTCTTTCTTTAAACAGAAAATTCATGGACAGCAACGAGAAGACAAATCTAAACAAGGCGCAGCAGCAAATTGAGCATCTACAGCAAACAATTTCAATATACAAAGAGCGATTGCGCGAATTGTCAAACAAATTGCCAAAGGCCGAGCTAGATGCAATGCTATTTAAGCTGGGCATCAAGGATATTATCGAGGTGCCCAACCAGGAGCTGAATGGCAATGAAACGCTTAGCAATGGCAAGCTGGGTAAGTCGCGAATGAACATTAGCAAATTATAAACTTAAATGAAAACATTGAATTAATTCGGCTAGATGAAGATAAGCTGCTAATTGATACTAACTCGATGACGGCATCATCGACACATTCGTCATCCCCCAATTCGTTCTTGCCAATCGTGCCGCCCCGGAGCAATCTGTCCAGCCAGATGAGCAGCAGCAGCAGCGGCGGAGGCGGTGGAAGCAAGAGCAATAGCCAGAAAATGGATGAGCTGCTCTTGAACTCGGATTCAGATAGCGATTTCGATCCACGTGCCGATGAGATACAGGATAATCTTAGCAATGGGCGAAATGCCATTAGCAACGATCTATTTGGCTTTGAGCCATCCAAAAGCTTTGGCCAGCAGCTTTTCTTCAACAACAACAACAGTAGCCTAAATAACAACAACAGCAGTCTAAATAACAACAATAGCATCAACAGCAGCGGCTTCTCCAGCGAGCTGAACATTACGCCACCTCTATGTAGGTCCTTTTGAAATACATCAGATCGATCAATCAATAACGTTTAATTTCTTTCTATGATTGAACAGTGGCACCGCCGCCAAAGATTGCGGCACCACGTCGCAGCACCTCGGTGTCCAATAGCGGCAACAATGGCCTGAATGGCAATACGGATCTGTTTGGCTCCGATCCATTTGAAATGAACAACGGGCCCAGCGTGTTCAAGGTGAGATTTGATTAAGCGAGTGACTGCGGCTGGGCTCACGAGGACCGATTGAATGACTAGCTAAAGATCAAGGAGTTGTGGTTGACTAGCTGATGGAATGGACTTTAAGTAGGGCGCTTACGCCAGGACGTTGAATTTTTTCTGTAGTTAGCTCTTCTGATTAAAGTATATAAAGGCTATGCTTTGATTGATTGACTGACTGATGAAGTATGATCACATGGAGTTAAGCTTGAAAGTTAGCCGACTACATTTACCACTGTAATTAAATTCTGGACTTAAATTGAAGCATATTAAAGTGATTGAAAGATTCACTGACTGACTGAAGATGAACGCTAGCTAAAATGTATAAATTGGGAAGTTTGAAGTGTTTAAAAATAACTGTGATTGATAAACTGAAATGAAGATGACGTAGAAGTCCTTGAAAATGTAAAACAAAATTATAGAACATTTTATGAATAATCAAAGATGATTGAAGAACATTGCAAAAACTTACAATTTGCATAAACATGAATTTAAAATATATAGTAAATACCAAATACATAAGCAAAATATTATTTGTGTTTTCAGAGTCAGCTTAACATTGATGACTTCTCGTTGGAGAGTTTGGATCCGTTGCGCAAGTAAAGTAGGAGGAGGCGGAGGCGGCAGTAGATCGAAAGCGGTGCTAACTACGCCATTTGCTGCAATATCGATCGATCCGAAAGAAAAGTTGTGTTACTATATATATGAGCGTATACAGTTTGTAGCTATTTATAGCCTATTTGCAATTTACATATATATATATATATATATATATATATGCCTGCTGCGTGAAAAAATTGTTCGTTAAAATATTTTTTTGAGTTTCGCGCTTGATTTATAAATATGTGTGTATTATTGTTTATATAATTTTATATTGCAAATTATGTATGATTATTAAATATATGTGAATCTATATATACATATATATTATATTATATTATCGAATCCAATGCACTTTGTTTAAACGAATCAATTGTTGCTCTAGTTAAATAGTTTAAATCAATGTCAAATGCCGAGCAAAATAAATAACGAAATCTCGTGATAATGTGCAAAAGCTAAAAAACCTAAATGTGAGAATTTTGTATAAAATAATTATAAAAACAAGAAAAGCATAAACAACAAATGAATATCATAATTATCTAACAGATATTCCATATAAATATATCTATCTATCTATCTATATATATATCTCTGCAAAATGAACAATATTTATTATGATGTAAAAAATAAAATGTAGCGCCTAAAAAGTAGTGTATTTTTATCGTTTATTTCTAGTTATAAAATATGCAGTTGGTTTTAGTTTTTCTTAACATTTTTATTTCAACAATTTTAAAAACTTAACGCGTTAACTGCCATGAATACAAATTCAAATACAAAAAACGTTGTCATTGCTGCTGCCGTTGTTTGGGAATGTAGTTTGCCTAGATCTAGTGATATTTGTATATATACTGTTTATATATATACTTTTAATATACTCTATATATATATATATATAATATATATTAGATCTCTGTATATAATCTATTGTTTTTTGCAGTTTGTCCTGAGTGTTTGTTTGGGCGATGATTTTTTAGTCCAAGTCGCTGTAGCGCTTCGATATGGTCGCATTAAGCTGCCTTGCATTCATGTCCGAGCTCTGCAATCAATCAATCAATCAATTAAACAATCAAAATTCCCAAAATTGAAATACTTTCTATAGGCTTTGTGCTTGGACCAACACCAAAAGCAAAATCACAGGGTATGTAGTAGACAAAATTACTTTCAAGTATTTAAATATACAAAAATGCAAAGTAAACTTTAATAAATTTTAATTAAATCATTAATAAAATAAAAACAGTTTCAAATATCTTCTAAAATGGAAACAAAAAATTCTGAATTTAGATTCTTGACTAAATTCTGTTAGCCTCTGTCACTAGCTCTCTCTAAATGAATTATATATATTTGTATTATTAATATTTTTTTGTAATAAATAATTAAAATTAATTAAAAATTGTAAAGTAAAGAGTTGCTTAAGCAGTGCTGTAGTTGAAATACCCTACAATTGGTGCAGTCTTAAAGAATATTTATAAATTTTTTAAGAAACCATATAAATAACGCCAACGATTGGAAAAATTCTGAAAGAAATTGAATGAAAGGAAAGTTAAGAGCAATAAGAAAGAAAACTTAACAAAGAAGCTGAAAGAAATATCAAGAGTAATACAAGATATACAACAATTAAAATTAGTAAAGGAACTAGTAGAGGACAGACTTAACAGGCACAGCAAGCAAGCCCTTTTAGAGCTAGCCCTAAAGTATGCTACGTTAAGGGTGTGGGGCACGAAATTAATACGGCCAATCTTCAAAAGATATAGGCTGTTGGATTTGTGATTGTCAACAGAATAAATAAAAATAAAAACTGATTAATTTTAGTAAAATTGATCAATTTCCAGTTTTAAAAAAGGTAAATGCCAATCAATGCAACTAGCCTCACGAGTCTAAAAATATATATAACAATATTACTATGCCACAAATATTCCAAATTTTCGAAAAAAAAAAATCTTTAAATATACCTAACTATCCAGTAACGATAGAACTTATATGTTTTAGACTCTTGGGCATATCTAGTTATTGTTAAAAAGATTTACCTTAAATATCACACATTATAATACTCGAGGTATTCGTATTATAAGTGTTAGCGCTTTTTTAAAATCTTTATAAATGTTCTATTGTTTTATATACCTAGAAACCGTAGTATTATTAGGAATCGGTTAATTGTTAGCTATAAATTGGGATAAACAAAGCACAAAAAACAAAAAAAAAAAACAAAATGTGATTCGTGTGTTGGGTGTATAAAGATTTCAACCAGTTTATTTAAAACTTCAGTAAAACTTAGAAAATAAATAGCATTACGTATGTATATATATGGGGTTTATGTGCAGGTGTGTATATATATTATATAGTGTGTGCTCGGTAGAACATTTAGTTTAAATATATTCTCGTAACTTACAAGCTAATTCACATTAAAAGAAAACTAATTTCGTAAATCGTTTCAAGACTTTGTTTTATATGCTCTGTCTATGCATTGGATAAATAGACTTTCAAATGAATTTCCTTGCAATAAATATAAATATAGCTATATTATATATATATATATGTGTGTATATAAAATATATGTGTAAGACTTTATCATGCTTACGAACTAAAACAAATGAAAGCCTAGTTTTATGTTTTAAACCCTTGCGAAATATTTCAAAATTTTGGAATGTCAACTGATCAATGACAAAATGCAAAATTAGTGTTTTGGGATAGGAAAGAATATACAGACAGTACATATAATATATAACATTAAATTAGGCTTTTAACAAATAATTAATTTAAAATTAAATCATTTTTAAGACTTTGGGCTTAGGCGAGGGTTCCATTATCCACATGCTGAGGGGAGTTAACTCGGGGTTTTTGCTGGGTTATTTGGTTGCACACGCACACACACTCACATACACACACAGACACATATACACGGCCAGTCTTATTGGCTAACGGCGCTCGTCTTCTTCTTAACGTATTTTACCTGATTGGACCAATCACCTGTGGGCACCGTAGCCCTATAAAACTTTGAGCTCGTCTTATTGAAGATGGGCAACAGCTCGTTGGCCTCATCGGAAAGCGCCTAAAAGCAAAGTAACGGAAAGTCAGTTAACAGGTTCAACTATATATTCAGAAAGCAAGCTCGAACCTTCAGGTAAATAATGGCATCGGTGCCAAAGCCCTCGCAGGACAGTAGCACAATATCGCCATGGAAATAGCGTGCGTAGAGGCGAGAGATGGGCAAGCCGTAGCCATAGCCAGCCAAGGGAACTGTGTGCAAATCCGATTTCGATGGCTGCGGCGCCGTACTGTACATGTACTTAAATAGCTGATCGGATTGGGAGCGCGGAATGCCGCCACCCTGGTCGGAGATCTTGACACATATATCCTCCTTGCCGCGACAGATGTGCACCTTGAGCGGCGGCAGCGTGTCGCAACTGTCCTGATTGTGATGCTCGACAACGGCGCGCATAGAGTTCTTAAACAGCTCAAAGAGCATATAGTACAAATGCGAAGGCACGTAAACAGTGCGTATGGGTATAACCTCATCCGTGCAACTGTGCTGCTGTATCTCTAAAGCGGGACTGGTCAAGTAATATTGATCACAGAGGAAACGCGCATTTTCATAGGCATCGCGCACCACATCGGAGAGATCACAAGCGGGGTCCAGGCAGCCAATATGACGGCCCACTGAATGCGGACTGGAGCCAAAGAGCAGAGCTAGACAGCGAGAGCGAGATGTTAAATATATATATATAGTTATATATCTCATTTCACACTCACTGTGCTGATTGATCAGCATCCGTATGCTAATGCGTGACATATAGAGACGATCGAGAAAATATTGTATGGAGCTCTCTATAGGGGCTTCCACCTGTCCGCCCTCGTTCTCCTTCATCTCGATGACGCCCTGCGCCATGGTCTGCACTACATCGTTGTGGCGATTCCTAATGAGATCCAAATCGCGCACAAATCTGTAACGAATCGAAGGTGCTTTTGTTAACGACTACATTTATTTGAATGATTCGGGAGGTTCACACTTTTGCAGATTGTCGTGCGTGGGCTCGACCTTCTCGTACTCCAGCACGTCCTCGAAGCTCTTCACATACCACGAGCTCACCTCGCTCACGGATCGTGTGTGCAGCAGGTTATCGGGCAGCAGAGCGATCTCTTTCATTATGTTCGCCAGCCGCACGGGCAGCTCCTTGCGCAGAAATATGAATGATTTCTTTTCGCATGCATTTTGACCTGCAAAAGAGAGGAGAGATCTGGTAAGAAATGCTATACATATAGTATAGTTTGGTCAGTGGGCGATAATTTAAGAAAATAAGTTGAAAAACACGAAATTAGGAATGGAAAATTAGAAAACGTGTTTGGCTTCTTTCACCCTTTTCATATAATCGAATTCTATATTATGTCTAGACCGTGTTCTACTTTGGCTTATCAATGCTTAGTTCCATTTGAAAATCGGAATCGAAAAGTCACATTTGCATTGATCATGCGCTCGGTCAATGGATTAGTTATAAAAGTTACGTGAGATGTTATGGAATGGAACACTATCATGACTATACGATGTGATCCATATAAATAAAATGGGTATGTGTATAGTAGGTATTGGGCACTTACATTTACAAATTTACTCCAGTTTTGATCAACTTAGTCGTTCACTCAATTTCAAAGCTCACCTTCTATATACTATATACACATACTCATACACATATATTACATTGAACCTTTCGTTCACTTCTCTCCATTTCAGCTTAATTGATTACCGAGCTCAAGTTAAGAACCCGTAACTAAAAGCGCTTTAGTCATACATATATTAAAAACAAAGCCGAACAAAAACTTTGTACTTTTCATTTATTTATTTTTATTTTTCGTATTTTGTTTTTTCGTCTCGTCAACAGTTTCGTAACAAAAACAAAACCGCAACGAGAAAGCACCAACATGCGAGAAAGAGAGAGCACGAGAGAGAGAGTGTATGTGAAAGATTAGCACAGCGAACTCAACGAAACAACGAAAATGAATTCAAATACAATTATGTGTAAACACATGTAGACCTTGAACTGTACAACGCCATCTGTTGACAACATTTGACAGGGCACGCCTCTCTTTGTTTTTTTTTTTCATTATTTTGTACGCGTATTTGCTCTAATCTAAGTAAGAGGCCTCGATAAGCGAAGTCCAGTTGGGGGCAATCGAAAGAGTGTCAACATTTACAGTGGGCCATAGAAGAAAATTTACTACAAATATCGGTTCGCGAAAACAAACAAAATACATGAATATCCATGTACGTATGCGCGTGTGTGTTGTTATTGTGGTTAGTCATAAACGCTGCGATAGCTTTGGCAGCCATTTTACTTATGAACTGCTATTGTAACGAATTCCAAAAACAAAACAGAATCAATAAAAACAAGTTATAAACACGTAGGAGAGCATAAAACACAACAGGAGTGAAAAAAAATTTTAAAATCAAAACAAGCAAACGACGTCAGCCCAGTTAGAATATGCGAGAAACTGCCGGCTGGAAATGGAGAGAGCCAACAGACTGACAGAGAGTGCGAGAGAAAGGCACTGGGCACGATCGTAAGACAAACACGCGCAGCGATTTAGCATCTGCCCTCTCACTCCCGCGCAAGCACTAGAAACTGACCTCAAAATAGAGCTTTATATATACATACATACATTCATTCATATGTATGCATGTCTATTTATTTATGCTTTGTTGTAGCCTTCCGCTTTAGCGCTTGTTTTGATATGACGACGAAAACGTGTGAATGTATCTATGTATAAGAGTGTGTGCTGTTATTATTGTTCTGTGTATTTGCTACTTGCAAAAAAGAAGATTTTTGGTCATTTGATTGGACCTGTCTGGCACTTGGCAAACGCTTTGATGCATTGCTAGTGATAAGAGTTTGCCCTCACTTTCATTTTGCCTCGCGTGATAAGTAATATTTATTAACAACTAATCGTTTCTTAATGGCCACGTCTCGCCAGCGTACTCGATATATGTGCATGCATACAAACAGTTGTAAGCTCATAAAGTAATTGGATATTAGCAGGTGACAAGTTTAAACGTCACGAATTCAATCAGTACTCAATTGAATGGTTTTCCTGCGTCTTGTTAACTGTTTAGCAATTTGGCACACAATTACTCAATTGCACTGCAGTGCTGGAAAATGCAATAAATAATTTACAACATCACGTAATGGCAACGCACACCACTAGAGTCAAGTTAATCTAAGGTCAGGGATAGTTTAAGTCGACTGAAATAAGCTGAACCGACTGCAATTACAGTTAGAAATTTAAATTTCAATTACATTTACATTTGCAAGGAAGCCACTTGAGTAACCTTTGTGACGTTGTGACGTCATAGCAGCAGAAAGTCACGCCCACAGTATATTATATGTATATGTGGGTGTGTGAGCATCTTTGCCTATTGCATCAGCCTATTTATTAGATCCACTTTTATCGACAATCATCATCTTTTGCGTATATTCGACTCACATTTGCCTTTGTCGCGCCCCTTCTGCCTGGCTACAATCAAACGTGCGAGCGAATTAGCAAGCACACACACATATATATATCGCAAGGCAAAGCAACAGAAAGAAACGAAAAAAATATATGCTATGAGCTCAATGCCGGACTGCTGAACTTTGTGTTGCCTTACACAGCATTAATTTACAGTTGCATATGCTAAAAACTCAACGAAAGCGGCAATTGAGTGAGAAATGTGTGCGATGTAATAGCTCAAATTCAACATATGTCGTTCAATTTGTAGACGTTAAACATAGTTATTATTTTTTTCATCAAAGATAACTGTTAAAAAGGAAAATAATATACCCTGCAGTCTAGCGAGCAAGTGCGTAGAAAAAAAAATGAGGCGCGTGTGGCTGTCATTATAATCACGAGTATAGAAAAAATAACAAAAAAATGACATGGGGGTGTATCGCTCTTTTTTCTTTTTTTTGGCAATTTTTTTTTGGCTGCAATTTTTTTCGTTTCTTTGTTGTGCTTCTTCTTCGATTTGGGTTGAGTCTTGACGTCTGTGCTTGTGTTTATTTATATTTGTTTTTTTTTTTATATTTGTTTTGGCCATACGAAACCGGTTGGTGGAAGGATCCAAAGTTCAAGATGTGCCAAAGTCCAGAAAACGCTGCTCAGTCTGATGCTGCTAACATTTCTTTTCATTTCTTATTGCTTTAGATGGTCATGTACCTGGTACGTATACTTAATATACCATATAATATAATGTCGTATACTTAACGAATGCGTCAAAAAAATTTTCCATTAAAAAATAAAAACAAAAACTCGTGCTTATATATTTAGTCACAGCATTTATATTTCTTATATTTATATATATATATATTCACACGATTTGTTTCTTTTGAAAAAAAAAAATATATATATATATATAAAATATAAAAATTTTTTGGCACATGATTTGCTCGCTCGTATAATCAAAACGAGCCTCCGAATTCGCCATATCAAATACTTTTTATATATGCTCTGACATATTGTTTTTCTCTTCGGCCAGCTGATAGGGAAAGTGATTAAGGTCGATCATAAATATATGGTATATAATTATTATACAGCAAATACTGTTATAATATAGATTGTCTTTGGGTATACTTTAGAGAGCGATTACTTCTCTTAGGGAGTTTTTGCAGTAGAAGTTTAAGACAGTAAGCCCCCTTGCTAGGGAAATAAAGCGATTCTCCATTATATGCGTTATCTTTTAAGCATTGCTAAACTAGAAATTTCTGCTTATTACAGTAAGAACCCTGTTTGTTCGGCATAGTTGAATGAATAAAGGCAGATTTTGCTCTATATTGAAGTACTTTTAACCTAGAATATTTAAAAAATAAAATACAGTAAAACGTCTAGTAGGATACACGTTTTTCTGGAATACTCTATGTAGTATGCCCTTACTCTAGAGAGACTTTTCTGTAGCTTCACTGTGAAACATTTAAGTTGAATATAGAACCTAAAGGCTCACTCTAGATCGATTTTACTGTACATATATATTATACATATTTAACATTCATTATTCACTCCAGCGAAGCTTCACTGTCTGATGTTAAGTGTGTAGCTTATTAGTAAATAACAATTAGCAACTATGTGAAGTGAAGTGTTTTCGTGGTATTCAAATAGATTTGCATGTTGCAAGCTGATAATACCAAAAAATGTTTCCATATTATAGCATATGAGTGCCATAAAAGATAATTCTCGATATCTGTACTATATGTGCGAAATCTCTATTTATTACACTCCCGACAAGTTGTTAATGGACACAGCTGAGCTGATTCTCATGACTTATCCATGCAGCAATTGCTTTGAACTCATGCGTTATACATGCCGTGGCATATTTCGGTACAGTTGGTCCCAAAAGCAGCTAGAAGCTTATCGCTCGCATCGACAGTTCAAGTAAAGGCACGTATACATACATATGTCTGTATATATCAAGTATATTGATATTTGATTGTGTAGTAATTTTGTTTTGCACTTCAATAAAGCGAAAACAAAAGATAATAAATAATGGATAAAAGGGGGTTATTTAGGGGCTTTATGAGGGTTATATACTCGAATGTTGTCCACGAGCCTGTTTTCGTACAATTTCTATTAATACCAAAACGACAAAAACATGAACGAAGCCCCCTCCTGGCCCACTCTATATATAGAACAACAGCCTCCTTCCAGGTCAGGCCCCTGCCGTTTCTACAAGCGCCCAGATTCATATCTGGGCCCTTCAGCCACTTGGCTTGAACAGTGGGCGACGCATTGTTTCCAAGTCGTTGGCTGAGAACTTTTGTTGTTGTTGCTGTTGTGAAAAGCCTAACAAAGAATGATAGTCGCCTAGGGAGAGGGTGGTGTGTGATACCTTATAAACATACAGGGTATACGGGGGTATAGAAGTGATGGGGGCAAGGGGTGAAGGTCGTGCCTGATATCACTTTAAGGGTATATTAAGAGTGACAGTAGCTTGGCTTGAGACTCTATCGAGTTATAATGGACGTCATATCATACCCTATAAAGATATAGAGGAAGTATATACGTCGACGGATGGAGAGATAGAGTAAAATTATATACAGTATACATACCCTAACAGAACTAGATCTATATGATATATATAGAGCGATACAGAAAGTAGAAGATAGCAGCTAACAATGTTTTGTCCAAAAACAAAGACTGTACTTTTTCAAATTTTGAATCTATACAATAATATAGTTGTTGCTGGACTTTTTTTTAGTTATGCTTTTCATATATACTGTATTTGACATATTCATATATATGCTCTTATATAAATATATATATATATTTTTAAAATTGCTTTTTCAGCAATTATTTTTAAATATAAGTTTCACATAGTTGTTCTTTAGCCTTGTTTTTTGACTTAGTCATGTTTTGTTTAAGATAAAATGAATATTTTGTGTATCTTTCTAATTTGAATGTATGCAAAATAAAATTTATATTAAAAAATTAAAATTTTATCGAAAAAATATATTTTTTAATTATATTTAGAATCTATTCAGACTTTAAATTATGTAATATATACATAGATGCATTGCTTTTTACCAAACCTCTTATATAACACTTGAAAGTACGAATATAGGGTAGCGCTGAGTGTCATACTGTTAGCTTAGTGTTTGTTGTGCTTATTGAGGCAGGTTTTCGTGCAGCTTAGAACAGACTTATAAATGTATTTATATAGGTATACACCTTTGTCTATATATCCATGTAGATCATGCATTCGCCTATATATTCGAATATGTATATATAATTGACATTGAAACGTCCTTGGGCGGCACGTGCCAGCTGTCATTGCAACTAGTGGGTGGGATTGGGTGGCAATAGGGGCTAAGCAACATGTAGCAAGAATATAACATTTCATTGTCATTTATTGTTGACGGCTAATGAAAACTAAGCCCATTTGTGGGAACTTCCGTTTTTTATAGTTTTACACATCGAAGCGTGCAATTGAGACGACTATTTATTTATGCTCGCTCTCACTCTCTCTTTCTCTCTCGCTCAGCGCTCAGTGCACAGTCAACAGTTTGTTGTACAGTAAAAACGGCTTAATTGACAATTCAATGAAATTAAATTGAATATTAGATAACGACGATTTGCGCAGTTGAGCTATAAACTAAAATCTAAAATCCACAAAGCTAAGATGAGCATGTTTTTCATATTGATCGCAAATGGTTGAGTGTTTCCTAATTAACCATTGTTCTCTCTTCTTTCGTCAAGTTGAGTGAGTTTTCGTTCTGTTGACAGGTTACGCAAGATCATAACGTAGCCAAGCTATGTCACGTACTGAGCGCAGTTGGCATATTGAGTGCTTATTTATTAATAATTCACTCTTTTTTAGCCAACAGGAGCCAAGGCAAAGGGCAATAAAAATAACAATCGATGCTCATTCTGTATGATAGGTTATGCAAGAGACAAGCAGACAAGTAGATCAAAAGCAGCAAATCAAATGACGTCAGAAATAGTATCAAATGTTTATTATTATACAAGATTGTTCTCGCGAGTAGTAGAAGGGTGAGTGAGAGGCGTGTTTGTTCTACTTGAGCGTGAGCGAAACTTAACGATAGCCGGCAAGGACTCAATAACCTTAAATTATTTATAAACTTTCGACTTACCGAAATCCATAAACTGTTTTATTGACAGAGGCGATGGATTGAAGCCCGAATAGAAATCCAACATTTTGGCCAGGCTCGCCATAGAGGATGAAGCGGCCGACAGACGTACAGGAAAAATGCGCATGTTGAGTGTCTTTTGTATGTGTGTGTGTGTAGTTTTTTTTAGAATCAGTTGTGGTTTACTGGGCCGCCTTTACGTTATATAGCAGCCGGTAGGCGCAATGTCCTTCGCTCACCTTCAGCAGCCGACGACAGCAGCAGCGAGGATAAAAGCGTACATAACCAAACTTTTAGGCAGGACGTTGACCGGGCCCCCTCACAGGCGCAGCCACACACACTCTCGCCTTTCTTATTGGATTTTTCGATTTTCGAGTAACACGCTTTTACCGCAATTTTTCCCGAACGAACAGCTGGCAAGTCTTTTGCATTCAATTTGAATAACAACAACAATAATAATAACAATAAATCAATTGTGCTTTAAACGGCTTTGTTGCATAAAAAGAATTATTTGTATTTGTATAAATCAGCAATGTTGTTGCTGTTGTTTTTTGTTGTGTGTTTGCTTGCTAGCTGAAACTGTTCTTTTGATGCTTCTGCACAATAAAAAACGTTTATGGCTGGACAAATTATGCGCCTTCTAGTCGGATTTTCCACACTGATTTGCTTGATTTGTGCGCCACGCGTATCAAAACAGTTAAAACTCGCTATTTATTTACTTTTTCACTTCGTTCTACTTGTGTTGTGGTGTTTGTTGTTGCAGCGCTGTACGTCGACTGATTTAGACGGTCGCCGCGTTTTATCTCCACAAGTCGAGCGACTGTTCGAGAGCGCGTCGTGTTGTGCTCATTTTATAGGCGCGCTCCAGAAATGTCCATGTGTGTGCGCTACCGTGTATGTGTGTGACGTATTTCAGCTGGAGCTAAATATGTGAAAAGTGTGACCGTATGTGCTCAAAGCTAAAAATTACCACATTTTAATTATCGTGCAGCCGCCACTTTAGCGAAAACATAACAAGGTGCACTGCACATACCCTGGATAATATTTATATATAGTTAAAAGTTAAATTTCTTTTCCAATTTTATTTCATACCCTTACAAATGTATTTGATAAATATTCATAAGTTACAGCATATACAAATGTTTTTTTTTTTTAAATTGAAATTATTCCAATTTAATTGCAATAATATTCAAAATTCTTAAAATGAGTTTTCCAACAAATGAAAAATAAATGTTTTCGTGTTAATTTTAAAAATTCACAAATAATTAAAAATATATTATTAATTTATATATATATATGTATATATATTATATATATATAAACTTTTGCTTTAGATTTCTGTGGCTGCCTGTGATATTTTTTTACAAAGCACAAAATTTGAATTCTTTTTGTGCATTTCGAACTTATTTTTAATATAGCTGTTTTTTGTTATATATATGGGGGTATACAGTTTTTTGTTTTGTTTTGGAGGCCAGAATTGGAAGTTATTTTTTAAGCTTGTTTTGGTATATGGTATATATATATATAGGGAATATCATTAACATTCTCGCTATGCTTTTTTTTTTAGCTTTTTTAGCTATAACTAAATTTGTGTTTCAACAAAAACAATGCGTAATTTAAAAAAATTATAACAAATTTGTAAATATATGGAAATACAATTGTAATATATATGCTGTGTGTGTGTGTGTGTGTTAAGGAACAATGATAACGAAACGTAATGTTCGCCTTAGCGTGTGCAGACTGTAAAGCACAAATCCATACAAATATATATATATATATATATATATATATATATAGATATATGAATGAATCCGTATATTATATATATATATAAATATAAGTGTGTGTGTGTGACATACATATATACACATACATATATTTACGCAGGCGCGTGCGTGTGTGTGTGTGTGTGTATTTCACAATCAGTAGACGAAGCGATTGAAATTCATGCCCAAATCATTGCCGCCACAGCCGCCGGTTGGCGGCGGCATCTGATCGTCTTCGTCGTCTCCATCATAGCCATTGCGTTGCATCGTTCCATTGCCGGTCACATTTTGCCTTTTGGCATTCCGCTTGAACCGCTGCTGCTTGAGCTCCTCGCTGTAGTCGCGATTATCTTGCTTCACATAGTCTCGGAGAGTTCGGGGCAGTTCGTCGAGTGTTAGGGGCGGCACGAGTGGCACGGGGACCATCGGATGCATTGGTCCGTCCGGTGTCGCCTCTGTGGATCGGCCGCACATCTGATAGAACAGGATGTAGGGTGTGTTCGGTGAGGTGAGGCTGTGCATCTCTTGCGGCTTCGAGTTGGTCACGAGGCTATCGTTGAATTTGAACCAATTCTTCGATTGATCGGCGGCAAAGGTGAAATAGTGTCCGGAGTCCATGCTGTAGCCGGCATGGACGACACCTGCGTAGAGATCATAGTGCACGGTGCACGTCTCCTGGAGGGAGTCTGTGGCGCAAACTTTTACAATTACCTGCAAATGTGAAGAGAGAAATGTGATGAGAACTCTGTGGTATCTTAAGAGGTGGAATGAGAAAGAGACCTTATGAATAATCGCGACAGATAAACTGAGGAACATATAAAGAATCTATAAGATGAGCTGTGGGATACGCATCTCTTACCAGAAGAAACCTACCAAGGAATATCTCAGACGAATCTATAATTGAATTATCTAAAAATTGAATAAGATCGGATCTAGAAGGCAACAATTGAAACTACTAACTGACTGATATATAAGGAGCTACTTGTAAATCTCTCAAGTGAAATTGCATTAAAAATTGATCAGAAATCAAATCTATAAGAAATCCCTGAGGGAATCTCTAAAGACTGCCACAATTCCAAGTATATATGCCTTTGATATATATATTTATATATTCTATACAGTTTCTATACTTTTCCAAACATCTTATCAAATTCTGATAATTGATTATTACAACTTATAGTCCCTAGGAACTATTGTACTACAGTGATCTATCTAATCTAAATTGTTGGTATACTTGAATTCGAATATCTCTTTTAAAAAGGAATAACTAAATTAAAAAAGTCTATAGAGGAAATATTTACAAGATACTATGAAGTATATAAATATAGACATCCAGCCAGCTCGATTCCTATGTTACTATGCGAATCAGTCTATTCGAATCACTGTAAAGTGCTCTATGTATAGCTCTATAGTATCAGAGCTCACATCGAAAGTTTTTGTTAGACTGAGTTCTTATCAAATCTTGCAAATCATTCTTATAGCTCTACATCTATCAGGGAGCTAAAAGGGCTCAATCCATGCAGGATCGCTCTATGTGGAAGCTATCTCTATCGTCATAGGATCAATCTCTATCTTTATGTTATCCACTTGCATAGGATATGTATCTATTTACACTGGATCTATTTACATATATGATATCTATATTTAGCTAAATGAATTCGTCTTTAGAGGGATCTCTCCTTTCTCTTTGGCCAACTTACGCTCTCGTCGTGGAACACCTTGTGCATGAGCTTTGTGCGAAAATGATATTTCTGATCGTATTTGAATTGTTTGAGCGTTAAGATGAGATTCCGCGGGGCCTGCGTGATGCCAATGCGCCGCTCGGCATCGCAGAGTTTCTTGCAGCGTGGACAAAAGTATTGATTGTCGCCATCGAGTTTCTCCGGCGAGCAGTAGTAGTCGATCAGATCCTGTACGGAATAATTGGTGGCGCCACAATCGTCCTTGTCGTCCGGAAAGGATAGCTGCAGCTCACGGAAACTGTCCTCGTTGCGGCTCTCCCACGAGCAATTCAAGCATTTGTAGGTCGTTGACAATTTGCCAGCAAAGGTCTTGTCAATTGTCGACGGCTTCTTCGGTTGGGTGGGCAACGAAGTGGGCGTGGCCTGCTGCATAATCGCTGGACTTGACCTCTGATTATGTACATGATCATTGCTATTGTAGGGTATAACGCCAGCGGCTACAATTTCCGCCGTTAACGTCGATTCCGTTTCCTGCGTCTCTTTGCCCAGATCTGTGTCCATATGCTGAGCGGCGCCGCTATTGATCTCATGCTCATGGAGTAGATCGAGTAAATAGCCTAGGAACTCGGAGCTGTCCTGCTGGAGTCCGGGCGTAAAGCCGGGCGGTCGAGTAGCTTTCAAGACACGACTCGGCGTCAGTTCGTAGCGCAGCGAATGATGCATCAAAGCCAACTGCTGCTGCACCCTAAGCAATATCAACGAGTCGTTCTCAATCAGCAGGATTTGCCGCACGAAGCTGGAGAGATAAAGGGGAGTTATTATTTATATGTAGACTATATGGATTCATTAGCCACTCACTCGCTGGTCATGGCCAGCGCCTGCAGCACGCTGTTCATATAACAAGTATTGCCTAGATTAACAAGTCCGACGCGCGCATTCCGAGGCAAAGCATTCTCGAACAGCGCCCTGGCTAAGGCCACACAATTCGGGGAAGGCTCGTAGAGCTGTAGAGCGGCTTTGACAGGCGCATAGAGCTCGTCGTTGTCATAGAAACGCATCATCAGCGCATTCGTAAGATCAACCAGCTTTTGTATATAGCTTCGTGAATCAGTGGGCATGCCATCCTGGCCCTTCATGTAGTTGATGACCATGGGTATCTTGGGAAGAATCTATGACAGGAGACAGGCGTTATTCGATATGTGTGCGGCAAGTATGTCGGGCACTTACCTTATAGAAGATCTCTGGCGCTTGATTGATCGTTGACAACATATGAAAGACTATGGGCGCCACCTTGGGCCGCAGTGCCGGAAAGACCATCAGGAAGAACAGCTTCTCGATGTTATCCAAGGCAATCTCGTCCAACAGCAAATATTTCTCCTGCTCTCGCAGGCCCTGCAGCAGGGCCATAATCCATAAATTCAGATTTTGGCAAAAATTACAAGCACTGATCCATTTGCAGAGCAAACCGACCGTTTTACGTATGCTATCATCCTGGACATTCAGATCCAGCAGCGATTGCACCGCCTCGATAATCAGCTCCGGGCTAAACAGCTGAAAGACAATGGCAACGGCACAGGAGGGCGGCTCGTAGGCGGCTTGCGTCATTAGTTGATAGACAATGCGCAAATAGAACATCAAAAAGCGTTTCTTTTTGGGCAATGCCAGAAAGTGTCCCACTTTGGTGATCTCCTCTTTGAACCGTTTGAGATCCTCCGGCTGCTTGCTCATTTGCATGCGTGCCAGATTGTAGATGACATGTTGGTAGATGACGAGTGTTGCCTGTTGATCTTCTGGGTTGATCGCTTGCATTCTGTTGAGCAAGCCGTTTATGTCGTGCAGTTGTCTTTCGGAGGAGCACGAATTGTTGCCTGCTCCTCCGGTGGTTTCTGTCTTGCTGCCAGCATCGTTCAGTTCATTGGCCACGCCTACTCCTCCAACACCACCTCCACCTCCTCCTCCTCCTCCGCCACCACCACCGCCACCGCCACCACCTCCTCCTTCATCTGTTGAATTCGCTTTTCCATTGCCTGCAGCTGAATTCGCCGTCGCCGCTGCCGACGCCGCCGCCGCCGCTGCTGCTGCTGCTGCTACTGCCGCTGCCGCTGCCACTGCTGCTGCGCTCCCTTCTTGCTCCTGCTGGTCCTGTTGATTCTGCTTGACAGCCATCGCAAAGGCCACTAACTGCAACTGTTGTATGTGTAATTGCCTGCGTACAGGTGGCACACGCTTCCGTGGACGTCGCGGCTTTTGTTTGGCGCGGGCGCTGCGGCTGTTATTGCGTGGCAGTCGCCGCCTGTCCTTCAACCAGCTGCCGTTGCGAGTCGTTGTTAAAGCTTTGACCCTTTAGCTGTTCGCAGCCAAATTTCTCAACAGCAACAACAGCAACGCCAACAACAACAAAGGTAAAAACAACAGTAAACAAATTGGAAGCCAGCGTCAGCCATTCAATGAGCCAAATTCGCTGCTTACATATGCATATGTAATAATACGCTGATCCGCAGTACGAATTCTCCTCTGCACCCGCTAATTATAGACAACAAGATTTGTTTGCTTTGTTTTTTTTTCTCTGTGTTCCGTTTTTTCCCTTCGGTCGCACGTTTTTATCGTTGAATTTCTGTTTGCTCTCGCACGTTTTGTTATTTTTTTGTAAGGCTTAACGACAACAAAACTAAATGCTTTGGTTTTATGTTTACTATAATTTTGACTGTATATGTATTTAACAAATTCTTTGTGGAGAATTTTTCAGTTTTTGTTAATGTTGGAGTCTACTGAGTCAGTGAAAGCAAAGTTTGAGACGTTCAAGCTGCATGATGATAATACGCATTCACACACTCACTCTCAAAATATAGCCATCGCACCAGGGCTACAATTTTTTTTTCGAAGTTTTATATTAAAAATATGTGGTCAGTCTGTGCAAAAATTCCGTGCATTGTTTATTGCGCATTCGTATTGGCAATCGATATTTGACGCGATATATATCGCAATTACACATCAGCTGTTTGTATTTTAGTCGTTTATTTATATGATGTTAATATATAATATTTATTATTTTAAGTAAGTAGGAATGTAAAATTAAAAAATGAATTCAATGTTTATATACATACGCATAATTTGTCAAGTTATATAAAATTAGCGTAATTTAAGCTCTTTGATAGGAAATTGTGCTTGCATCATTTTATCGATGTTTTAATTTTGTATACCGCTGCCACATCAGCTGTGCTTGTTTCGATATACCGATTACTCTATATTTTTTTTATTACATTTGTTTACCTTTTTTGTGCGTGGCTACTGCTCAAGCAACGTTGTTGCCTTTTTGTTAAAAATCAGAAAAACTTCGTAGATAAGTTATTTAAAAAGCTTGCAAAATGCATCCCGGGCAGATAGAAGTAAACGAAATCACTGGCCTTTGGACATTTCTGTTGACCGTAAGCTGTGGAAAGAATGACCTGCGAAATTGTTAAAAAATGACAGTTCAATTGAATTTCTCTTTCAGATTGATTGGAAGGACCCTTGGCTTATTGGATTAATCACTCTGCACGTGTTAACAACTAGCACAGCTTTACTTACGCGAAATAATACAAACTTTCAAGTTGTTTTATTCCTTGTTCTTTGTAAGTGTACAACTTTCAGAGCTCAAAGAGTATTTTGATAACTATATATACATATATATATATATATATATATATATATATATATATGTTTTTATCTTTTCAGTGTCTGTTGTTTATTTCTCTGAGAGCATTAATGAATATGCTGCAGCGAATTGGCAAACATTCTCCAAGCAACAATACTTTGATAACAATGGCCTTTTTATCTCGACTGTCTTCTCCATACCCATATTATTAAATTGCATGCTGTTAATCGTAAGTACTATATATAATTATCATCGTTTTGTTATTGAGAAACATTTGTGTTCTGCAGGGCACTTGGCTTTATAATTCAACTCAAATTATGGTCACCCTAAAGACCGCCCAGCTTAAGGAAAAAGCGCGAAGGGAAAAAGCTGCTTTAACAGCCACACGCACTACGCCCACAAAAAACCTAACGGAAGACTAGATATTAATAATAAAGGCCATTTACCAGTTGTTAAGTGTTTGTCCGCAAATATATAAATGTAAACTAAAGCTGTAAGAAACAATTTAAATTATTGCTTTCTTAATCCACTTAAAATTTTAAAATAAAAAGCAGTAGCCGGCATATTTGGTATTTATTTTAAAGCTGTGGTATTTGGTATTTTTGGCGCTAACGGTCTGGATGTATTCGATGTGTAGTGATTCTAGATTCTAGCGCATTTCTCGAGTTGGTCACATTAGCCAGTCGGTGGTTGAAAGTAGAGTCAAGTGCAGCAGCGGGCGATGATTTTTTAGCCGCTGCGTAAACAAAATTATTGTTAACATAAAACGCAAGCAACAGCGAACTAACAATTAAAGAACCGCGACGTGCGTGTGTTTGAAATTGCTGTTATTTATACGGAAGAGCAAATAAGAATTATTTTAAAAAACTAATCCAGCTTACGAAGCTGTGTTTGTTGGAGGCGCGAGTGTGTGTGTGCGTTTTAGTGTTTGTGTGTGCGTGCGTGCGTTTGTGTATGTGCGTCTCGGGCAGCGTAAAAGCGAAGTCGAAGATAGCCCGAATAACAGAGAAACAGAAGTTGTTGTATATCTGTCTGTCAACATATTTCGCAAGGCCAAAGTCAGCAATCTAAAGAGAGTTAAAGGGCGAAGCAGGTGAAAAAATTGAATTAAAAAGAAAACAACAGTTAAGCAGCCACTAAAGCAAAATCAACGGTACTTCAGTGCTAGCAAAGGGCAAAAGTGCAAAACTCGAATAAACTGTCACAGGTCAAAAGTGACGCATAGTCAACGCCAGCCAAACAGCCAAGCAGCCAATTACAAAAATAAAACAAAAAAGGTAAACAAATTGAATTTTAACCGACACACAAATTGTGTTTTTCTTTTTAACAAACGCTTCGCAAATTTGTTTCATTCATAAAAACACGATGCGACGCATCGCAACGTAGCAGCTGGCACCCTTCCCCTTCTCCTTCAGGCGCCTTTTGCCGTTTGGATTGAAGGCGAGAAGAGGAAACACTTTTTTGAAAAAGAAGGGGAGTGACCAGGAGGTAAAGTGTCCCACACACTCAACCTCCGCTACCTTCTCTTTGATCTCCCTCTCCCTCATCTAAAACGTATGGGACACTCTACCGCCTAATCGCGATCAGTCGTTCGACCTGTAAAGACGTGAATTCGAACAGCCTTCGCTTAAGCTCTACTGCTGCAGAGTTCTAAAAATAGAACTTTGCGGTGCATTCTTCAACGCAACAGCAACAAAAACCGCACACGCAGCGTTTTCTTATCGCTTGCTTCCGCGTAACTCAATTGCTTTAATTGCAATTTACGAAATTTCGTCGCTTGGCGCGAGTGCGCCTGCACTCAAAAGCACAATCCGCGATGACATCTAATGTCAATAACCTCGCTACAGCTGTAAAGGTAAATGCAGAAATGCAAGCCCAGCTTAACGTTGTGATGGCAAATAGGCAAGCCTCCATCATGCCAATAAACTCAAAAATAGATATCGCCTCCGTGCAAGGCATCACTAACAACAAAAACACGAAACGTAAACAGCCAAATTCACCAAAAACCATCAAGAAAAGGCTCATCTTCGACGAACCAAGCACCAGCAATGCAGCATTAATATCAGAAAATCGATTTTCACTGCTCGTAGAAGAAGATGAAGACTACAGCGAATCACCTGTAGCTCCAGAAGCCCCAGTATTGACCGACCAGCAAACTACACCGAAACCTCGTCCGCCCCCCATATGGTGTCCAAACATCAAGTCTGTGGCCCTACTTCAACAGATAATAGATAAAGTAATTGATGCTAAATCATACGTAATTAAGCCAAAGAAGAATAACATAGGTGTATTAACCCAATGCAGTGAGGACTATCGCAGAGTTATAGACCACTTTACTAAGCTGGAATTGGAGTTCCACTGCTACCAGCTTAAGGAGGACAAACCATATAGAGTCGTGTTCAAAGGGCTTCACTCCAGCACTGATACAACACTAATTAAAAAGGAATTGGAAACCAAAGGCCACACAATTACAAATGTGCACAACCCACTGAGCCGTATGGACAAAACACCGCTAAATATATTTTTTGTTGACGTGGCTCAGGCCCCCAACAACAAAGAAATTTTGGACATTCGAGTTGTCTGCAGGCAACGCTGCACAGTGGAACTGCCAAGAAGATACAACGACCTGACACAATGCCATCGCTGTCAAGAATTTGGACACACACAACGCTACTGCCACAAAGCTCCCAGATGTGTGCGTTGCGCCGGGAAACACGCATCCAAAGACTGCACCCGCGAAAAGGACCAGGCACCAACTTGTGTGCACTGTGAGTTACAGCACCCAGCCAACTATAAGGGCTGCCAAGTATACAAGCGGTTGCGCAAATTGCAATCCCCAGCACAAAAAAGGAGTCCCACACAAACACCGTCTACGGGTCCGAGTACTGCTTCCGAAATTACAAGGCCCCGGAGCATTACCCAAGCCACGAGCTTTGCAACGCCTATTAGTGGTGTTTCTTACGCACAGGCCGCTAGAGGTGGACCGTCAAATAAGAATACCACAAGTGACACTTTGTTCACTGAAATGCTTCAGCAACAACAACGTCAGTTTGACGCAATTAATGCCGAGCTCAAAGCGATGCGAGAAGTACAATCCCAACAAGCAACCATGCTAAACAGTTTAATGGCCATCATAACCAAGCTTGCCTACAAATAATGGCTTTACGTGTGGGTATCTGGAACGCCAATGGCCTGAGAAACAAGACTCAGGAACTGGCTGCGTTTCTCTCACAAGAAAACATAGATATAATGTTAATAACAGAAACTCATGAGTGCCCCACTACACAAATTTTCGGATACGAACACTATCAGGCTCATGGTGAAGGAGCAAACTGCTTTGGTGGATCCTCAATCCTCATACGAGCAACAATACCGCATACACCTTTACTGCCAATTTGCAACGCAACAATGCAGGTCTCAGCCATCACCCTGCCTACGTCTATTGGAGCGATCGAAGTTGCGTCAATTTATCTTCCGCCAAACACTGGTCTGTGTGATCATCACATGGAACAGGTTCTAGGCCAAAGGTTGAATAAGACCCTCATCGGCGGCGACTGGAATGGATGGCACCCATTTTGGGGAAGCAATAGTGCGAATCGTCGCGGAGAAGTCATATTTGAGGCGATTCAAAACTTACAATTCAGCATATTGGCGACTGGAGCCCCCACCCGTTACCCAATTAATGGACACAGGCCCTCGGCAATCGACTTCGCTGTCTACAAAGGCATCTGTGACCGGCAATTGACCATTGAAGAATCCTTGGACCTATCCTCTGACCACCTGCCACTAATAGTCACAATCCACGCGCAGCCACAGCCCTTGCCCATTAGGAAACAACTACTGCCAGCAGGATCAGATTTAGGAGTCTTTAGGCGCGAGCTCCATTACTCTTTGCACATAGAAATGGAACTTAACACTCCTGAAGACGTGGACTACGCAGCAAACAAACTGCAGGAAGAAATAGTCAAAGCTGCGCACCAAGCCGCCCCACCATCTTGCCAAACAAGACAACAGTCTCCGTACAACATCCCCCTCACCTTGGAGGCCCAACACCTACTAATACACAAAAGATGGGCCAGGAGACGCTGGTTAAGATTACGCACGCCTGATGCCAAATCCATGTACAACGAAGCCACGAGGCATCTTAAAGCTGCTCTCGCCCTGCTTCAAAAGAGGTGTATCAGCGATGCGCTGGTACGAGCTGAATCGCCCACTGACGCAGAGTTTCAATTATGGAAATTTACAAGAAAGCTCAAACGGCAGCCAATACGACGTCATCCCATTCGGAGCATTTCTGGTTCCTGGCACATTGGAGACGAAGCTCAAGCTGAGGCTTTTGCAAACCACCTTCAAGACCAATTCACGCCGGTGATTACCGCAGAGGCCTCAGAAATCGAAGCAACAGAAGACATCGTTCTCTCGCCCCTCCCAGCTGAAGACCAGATAACTGGATGTACAAAAGAAGAGGTTCTTGAACACATCAGAAGAGTGAAGGCAAAAAAATCCCCTGGATATGATCTAATAAACGGCAGAGTCCTTAGAGCACTGCCTGACTCCACCATAGACTACATAACTATGGTGTACAACGCCATGCTCCGCATCCGGCACTTTCCAGCCTGCTGGAAGCGCGCCGTGATTGTGATGATTCCTAAGCCTGGCAAACCCGTGGGAGAAATTGAGTCGTACAGACCAATTAGCCTGTTGCCAGTACTCTCCAAAATATTCGAAAGAATATTTCTGGAACGAGTACTGACACATCTGGGACGCCAGGAGGCCATTCCAAACCATCAGTTTGGCTTCAGGAGACAGCATGGAACACCGGAACAGGTTCACAGAGTTGTGCACCATATCCTTGGAGCCTTTGAAGAAAAGATGTACTGCTCTGCCGTCTTTTTAGACATCAAACAGGCGTTTGATCGAGTTTGGCACCTGGGACTGCTGCAGAAAGTGAGGACCACCCTTCCAGCCCCATTTTTCGCGTTGCTATCCTCATACCTTATTGGAAGAACCTTCCAAGTGTCAAGGGGGCAAACAGTATCCTTGACTAGACCAATTATGGCTGGAGTACCACAGGGTAGTGTTCTAGGCCCAACACTTTATACTTTATTCACAGGAGATATGCCAACTCCCGAGCCAAATATAGGAAGTACAGATGCAGTACTCATAGCGACCTATGCAGATGACACCGCCATCTTATCACGTCACGTATCTGCGCAAGAAGCTTCAGACTCACTACAAAAATATCTGGACTCTTTCGGACGCTGGGCAAAACGGTGGTGTATCACCATTAATGCACAAAAGTCTGTACATACTACCTTCGCCACTAGAAGAGGAGATTGCCCAAGCGTTGCATTGGGGCCCACTATTCCCAAAGCCTCAAAAGTAAAGTACCTTGGTATCACTCTTGACAGAAGGCTGACTTTTAAAGCGCACATAAGTCAAGTAACCTCAAAATGCAAAAGCAAGCTAAAAACCCTCGACTGGATGCTGAGAGCTTCAAGCAAGTTGTCTTACAGCAGCAAGGCCGCCATCTACAAGGCAATAGTTGTCCCAACCTTCGTATATGGTATCTCTCTATGGGGCTCCTCGGCGAAGACTACAAGGAACAAAATTCAGACCCTGCAGAATAAAGCACTACGCAGATGGACTGGAGCCAGCTGGTTTGTAAGAAACTCAGTCTTACATAGGGATTTAGCAATTCCCACAGTTGCTGAACTCATTGGGCGACACAGTTCAAGATACGCGGACAGACTTGCAGCGCATCCTAACCATCTCGCAAGCAACCTGGCTATAAACAACAATAGGCGAAGACTGAAGAGATTGCATCCTCTAGACAATATTAGAACTAATTAAGATAGTAGCTACAAGTGCAGAATAATTGGCATATCTGCCCTCCCATTAGTTAAGGTTTAGAGCTAAATGCGCTATAGAGTCTAAGACAATAAGCTGCAACAAAATAAAGAAATAAAAACGAAAAAAAAAAAAAAAAAAAAAAAAAAACTCTACCGCCTCTTTGTTCTCCCTCTCTTCGCCTGTTAAAAGCTCGTTTACACATATCTGTGGTTGTTTTTGTTTTTTTTTTTATATTGCTTTATTTGTTTTCTGTTACTGTAAATCAGACTCTTGCAATTCATTCAATTCATTTGTATGCATCACTAATTCCCCTTCTCTCGCACCATTTTGTTTCCTTTTTTTAAATCTATTTTTGAGGTATTTCGTAATTAAATGAGTTTTTGTGCCATTTTTTTAGCTGCTGTCATTTGTTGTTCTTTTTATT